TTGTATCGACAAAATGACACTTTTAACGAGCAAACGTTTAGCAAACGTTTAGCAAACGGAGCGGAAGAAACGAATTAATCGGGCATTGTGTTACATTTCCGTGGCTACTTGTAATAGACGCTAGCTAACATTTGTCATACGACCTCGCTTACACGCTTACTTTCAGGTCGCTTTTTTTCCCCCTCTCGCCTCTTCTTTTCTTCTTCAATCGGTATTTATAACGCACACTTTTTTTTCTTTTTTTTTTTTTTTTTCCTTTCTTTTTCAAACGTCCCGCCAATTTCGTTCTTCTCTCAACAATTTCCGCACTCCACAGATCCTCCTCGCGCGAAAATTCTCTCGGTCTCACAGTCTTGTAAGAGCAGTTTCCCGTTGGGAACGGAGAAGAGGATCGATTTATTACGAGACAGAATATAACGTTCTGTGTCGGCCTTGTGACGTACTTACCGATGATTGCTCTTCTTCCTATGTAATGTACGAAACGTTCTCTCTCTCTCTCTCTTTCTCTCTCTCTATTGCGTTTCGACAATCGGCAATATATATATATATATATGTATATGTATACATATATATGTTAATATTTCTGTAATATTTCAAACAAAAAAAAAATATATATATATGTACGTATGTATGTATGTATGTATATGTATACATATATATATATATCGTTTCAAAAAAAAAAAGATGAACATTGATCGAAAAAATATTACGACCGAAAAAGTCACCTGAAAATGTAAGTGTAAGCTGGAATATTTCTTCACTGCTTCTCTCTATGTGCTTTTTTGATTATGCTTGAAACCTTTGGATTTATCGTCAGAGCTGGGCACTATTTACTTGAAACATTCAGTTTGATTAATTATTTGATGATAATGTAACGCCGTTGTGAATCATGTGAACGTTATATATATATATACGTACATTTGTTGAACGAAATATGCCCATTTCTGCCATGATGGACGTGACGTTCCTCGAGCAAATATTTCTACATCAATATTTGTATGCGTCGATTCGGATAGTATCAACATTCGTAAATAAACGAGTGCCATCATGGGAATTTATTCAATATTAGAACTACCTGTGAAAGAGTGAAAGAAACAAAGATATTAATTGGCTTCATTGACAGTTGAATATTATTAATATTATATATTACGTTAAGTTCAGAGAAAAATAGCGTTACGTTAAAAAAATCAAGTTACGTTAAGTTTCAGAGAAAAATACCAAGAAACATTATATATATATTGGTAGTTCTAGTATCATCTAGTTATTGCTACTTTTGTTCTAACTATTTTGTCAGACATTGCTATTTCATTTTGCTTGGAACGAGACTGATTATTCTAAATACGGCTGACGGTTTTATTTTTTTCTCTCTTTCCAGATACACGTTTTCCAGGCGAATATTGACAGGGTTGATATTCAGTTGCATAGGGGATGCGTTATTGGTTTGGCCCAGTTGTTTCACCCCGGGAATGTGCATGTTCGCTCTGGCTCAGATCATGTACATCAGCGCGTTCGGTTTTATACCGCTTAACATAGCGCTAGGTACAATTCTATACGCGATGTGTTCACTAGGTAATTCATTAATGATTCTCACTATAAAAGCACACGTGCCAATTGAAGGAAAAAAAAAAAAGTGCAAAGATGTCTCGATAACAAAAGGAGAGCTTTAGAAATTAAATTTGAAGATTTATCAAATCTGGATACACTCCTGTTTCTCGAAAACGAGGTCTTGAAAATGATAGAGTTTTACTTTGTATTCTTTACGTAGAAAGACTCCCCCGCCCCCTTTGTTCTCCATTGAGACTGTTGAAACACCCTGTATGTTTGATGATTAGAGAAAACCTCGATAAAAGTACAAAAGCAAAAAAAGAAAAATCAGAATTGTATATATTTTTTTCAGTCATATACGCTTTAATGCCTGGTCTGAATGGGATTCTGGTGATTGGAGTTCCGGTTTACACGGTGTTACTAACCACCATGGCGTGGAGGGCAATCTCCAGAGTACAGTTTTACAAAGTACAAAAGAGAAAAATCCTACAGAAAGGAAAAGAAAGAAAGAAAAAAAGATCACGTTTTATTTACGCACAGTGTTTTTCAATCTCTGTGGAAAAACTTCCACGGGTCACTTGATCTGCTTCCTCTCCCTTCTCACGTGGTATAAAGTTAACAGTAAATGAATTAACTCGCATGTTTTGTAATACAGTGTAACGTGATCCACTGATTCGTTCGAAGGGTGAAGCAAATTATGTATGCATGCACGTGGGAACAGGATGCCCTACACCTTGACCACGTGTATTCTTCCCTTTTTTTTTCCATCGCAGCGTCCACAGCACCGAGAATAGGGGAAAGAATATGTTATAAATAAATTATAATTGAAGAAAGCTTTTATCAAATTATCTAGATCAAAGAAGATGCATCCTCTTGCACAAAAGTAGTTGCAGATGGAGTTTCCATTAGGAGAAAATGGAATTGGAGTTTTCCTTCTCAGAAACTCCAACTGAATGATTCAATCCACCGGTTGGAAAACACTGTGTCCGAAAGTGACGTTGCTATCCCTGTATTGTACACGAAATATCCAATAAACCTTCTGTATTTCTTTCGTCAGGAGTTATGGACGTGGACTAAATTATGCAGCTGCATCGGCAGTATATGTTTCCTCATATCTGACACGCTGCTCGGATTTCACTATTTTCATACCCCACTACCGTATTCTCAGGTATGTATGTATACAGTGATTTTTGTACATAGTACATATATACGGTATATCATCATATATATATATATAT